AAAAAATCAAATCGTATAAATTGCCTAAGCGGGCTTAAAATCCATGTAAAGGGATATGATTGTGTAATGTCCACATAAATACACTTATTTAAAATGCAGATGTGACGTCGTCCTTTGATGTTGGCGTACCAATATTTCCAATAATGTACGGGCAACTTGCCAATCGTACATTATCTATACTAGATGAAATATTGGACTCGCGTGACCTATTTCATTGAAAAGCACGTGCGGGATAGCGTCTGTGTATTAAGTTGTTTAATGGTCTCGAGCTAAAGACATTGCGTAATATACTATTCAAAAAAAGTAGGGGATATTTGATTTTTAAGTGTTATTAAAGTCACCTGACGAAGAAACAAATGACAAAATGAAATGAAGTTCATATTCATCGATTTATTCCAAATGATCGTTAGACTAAGTAAGGCACAGACTGACCATTATAAGGGTAAAATGATACCCGGGGTCAAACAGCAAAGTTACCACAGCATCACAACCAAGTCAGTAACGGGTAAATCCTCCTCTGTTTGCCAAACAAGCATTGATCCGACGTGGCATACTCCTAATGAGACGTCTAAGGTCATTTTGGTCCAGATTGTCCCATTCCTGTTGCAACGCAGCAGCAAGTTCTTGGACATTGGCAGGACGTTGTTGACGTTGACGTAACCTCTGTCCAAGCATGTCCCAGACATGCTCGATGGGGGAGAGGTCGGGACTCAGTGCTGGCCAAGGTAATGTGGTGATGTTCTGTTGTTGGAGGTAACCTGTAACGATCCTGGCCCTGTGACATCTTGCGTTGTCATCCTGGAAGATGAAACGGCGGCCATGACGTCGTGCGAACGGCACAACATGGACTGCCAAGATGTTGTCCCGGTAGTACTGGCTTGTAACACGCCCTGCAACAACATGTAAAGCCGTTCTTCCAGCAACAGTGATGCCTCCCCACACCATAACAGAACCACCCCCAAATCGATCATGTCTGATGACGTTAACGTCTTGGAAGCGCTCGTTTCGACGACGCCACACCCTCCTACGTCTGTCCAAAAAATCAACAGTGAACCTTGACTCATCTGAAAACATCACATTTGTTAGCGTCGATTATCCCAGTGTTGACGATCCCTACACCAACGATGTCTTGCCTGAATGTGATGATCTCTCAAACAAGGGATCACGCGAGGACGTCGGGCGCGAAGGTGACCCCTATGCAGTCGATTCCGAATCGTCTGGCCACTCACTCTCACACCAGTGTCTGTTTGAAGACGAGCGCTGATCTGATTTGCTGTGATGACACGATTTCTCAAGGCCAAGGTACGGATAAATCGATCCTGGGCTTGAGTTGTCGCCCTTGGTCGACCTGAGCGTGGTCTGTCCTGTACAGATTGTGTATCACGGTATCTGGACCATAGCCTGCTTATGACAGACTGAGAAACATTCATCGTCCGCGCCACAACCGCCTGTGTTGTGCCGATCTGTAGCATGCCAAGGGCACGTAACCTTTCATTTTGGGTAAGCCGACGCATATCAAAATTTGTTTTCTGGTCACTAAAACAATTAAACTGATGTTTCCACCCTGGAATTCAATGCCACAATGACTGTAACATTCAAAGTCAGAGTCGTGCAAATCTTGGGTTGGACCCCCATGATGATCCCAAGCATCACCTGCATTCCATGCGGTAGCTATTGGTGCGTTTGGGCGTCACATGTAACTGGAAATGTTTCTTCTGTTAGGTTCTATAGTGACTTTTTTCGTAGTCATTTGCATATTTCAGTATTATGCCCCCAAAATCAAATATCCCCTACTTTTTTTGAATAGTATATATTGAAACAACACTCGGATAACGCCTCGTGGAGTATCAATATATTACTTAATGCCTCGCTCTCGACCATTAAACCATACATATTTTCTCAAGTTCATACTGATATAACACCAACTAAACGATTTACTTAAAGGAGCTAAGTCGCTAATATTTGGGATCTAGAAATTGACACAAATGGGTCGCAACGCATATAATAATGTAACATGTATGTAAATAAACTGATTTACATTCAATCGTTTCTGTTTTTACTGTAATTTCTAATCAAACAATCTTTAGCGTCTGGTTATTCCAGTCAAAACCGATGGTATTTATTGCGCATGCTCTCCAGATAAGAATATAGCCTCATCATTTGACATGACTTGTGGAATATGTCTAGCCTCGTTCTTTGAGTCCCTTGTTCCAAATGGCACTGAAACGCATTGTGGTAAACGATTCGTGTACCAAAGACAAAATGTTTATTTTGCCTTGAATATTGGATATCAGAACCCCATCTTTTCCCTGCAAGATCACAAGACCAATGTTGATTTGAATTGACAAATAATTCGTGTTTTCAATGTCGAAAATTTTTAATGATATTGAGTAAGAGACTTAGTTACTTTAATGTCTCGCTCTCGACCATTAAACCATACTTATTTTCTCAAGTTCATACTGATATAACACCAACTAAACGATAATTGTAGTTAAAACTACAATTATAATATTATACTTGTATATAGTAGTTCTTGTACACAATATTTTATTTACAGTTTTTCTTCATTGTCTGTTAAGGTAGTGTTATATTATGTCAGTATTGACATTAGGAGGCAACCGTGATATTTTTGGACCCGATAAGTAACCAAAGAAGGGCTGTCTACCCAGAAGTGTTTATTCTTGTTCTTACTTGTGGTTCACATATCAAATAATAACTGAATATTTAAAGTATCCCGCATCTACTTTACGTAATAATATTCTAAATACGAAACTATTTTATGGACATATAATTGACCTTCTGACCTCGATTATGGCACAGTAAGGGAACATGAACGAACGTTCTAATAAATTACATTCATTTCTAGCATTGCGTCTTATTAAAATTTCTCAATCAGGTATAACAGCCTTCAATCCTCATATTTTAATTTGTAAAGTCGACCTACTTTGTTTCTTAGTCTCGTAGGGCTTGACGTTTTACTATTACCAATCCTATTTCGTTTCGTTTTTTATAGTTCAAAATTTCGGTTTACTCGTTGATATTACACTAGGATCTAGAAGAGTTGTATATAACCCACGTTCTGGATGATGTGAGGAATTAGCCAATGAAACGGCCTGTTACGGCGAGTTTTTGGCGTGAGGTGCACGGAACTCGTAGGACCCTTGACGCTAGAACTTCATATAGTAGAGGCCACAAACGTATAAAAAAAAAGAAACGAAATATAGATCTGTATTTTTATTAGATTGTACTATTGTGCACCGACCGTGGTGATAGGACAGGTATAAAATCCGTCTACTCCCCGTCCAATTCTCTCAAAGCTTCTTGTATGTGCACATAAACGAGTATTCCGGGGGGGGGGGGGGCGGTCTTTCTTGTCTCACCAGGTCAGCCAAGATTTCGGGTAGCGATGTTGTTGTAGGGCACATGGGGGGTTGGATGGCTGAATGGTTAGCGTGCGCGGGCGGTATCATAAAGTCTGTCATTGAGTCGACTGGCGTGGTTTCGAATCCCCGGTTGTACGTGACAAGGAGTAGGGTCGCCTGTCCAACCTCGTGGGTTTTCTCCGGGTCCTCCGGTTTCCTCCCACTGCTAAAGACCCCTACGCGCAAGCGAATTATTGAAATAAGATTAAACCATATGTTAGTCCCGAAATGACCTAGTTTGTGTCGAGTGGACGTTAAACCCCATTTCTCTCTCTCTGTAGGGCGCATGGAAAAAGCAAGACAGCATTTACTGCTTAAATTAGATCCCAGCAAAAACCGATATCGAATCCGTGATCTCTTCTGGGATTTTTATATAAAGGTCTGCCTGGGAGTTGACCCAATCCCATTCTGCATCGATTCGAACGAATAACAATTGCAGAGCCATGCTATTTTCTCTTTTTGTTATTGAATTCAATGATAATTCTCTTTAAATCTATGTTTACATACACAGATAAACACTAGAAAAAACTGGGTGAGATCAAAAAAATTCCCCTGACCTCAATATGCACACTGTGGGGCTTTCCCTCGAATATTTGAATATTTTATAGCATTATGAAAGCCTGTACATTATATATATTCATATATTCATAGATAGACCAGAAATATATTGAAACGATAAATTAACTATTGAGTTCTTCCTTGGTGGATTGAGCAAGAGTGCATGTAATTTCTATTGGGGTTTTTATAATTAATAAATAATTAGTGAGGGGTGACACACGATGTGGTGTAACTGTACGCATATATCAAATAGATTCATTATATGTTTAGTAAAGTACACAAAGGTCATAATGCTATATTTTACTGGGTAGGCCACAGCCCCCGTTTTATGTGGGTAAGACGATGGCTCGCTAGCCTGGAGGTCGGGTGTTCGTTCCCTGCATTGGCCGAGAAAGTTTATCCAGATTTTACGGCGTGGTTCCCCCTTGTCAGCAATGCAGGACGGAGGGCCTGACAAGGACAGATGTCTTGTCGTTCGGATGGCACGAAAAACCCGAGGTCTCGTGTATACATTGGCCTGCATTTAAAAGATCCCTTGACAGTTGGAATTCGATATAAGAGTGGGCCATAGTGCCACTGCCCGGGCAAAATTTCCCTCATAACACACTGTATGGCGTATGCCCGTCTTCATTAGCTCAGTCGGAGCAGAACAGTAGGACGTTAAACAACATTTCATTTCATTTCCGATGGAACTGAAAGCTCTAGCTATATAATACTGTGTTTCTTTCCTCAATATTTTAATTTCCATATATATATATATATATTTATACAAGCTAAGAGCAGATCATCAATTGGAATTTTTATATATGTGACATTATTTATGAATAGCTCCAAGACAGACGAAAAGTACTTTAAAAATGTTAAAATGTTATTAAACCAGTGTTGAAATCAATTTGTGTCGGCATACCTTTTATTTTTTTTATCGTTTACCGTGAAACAAAGTTGTGCAGCTTTACGGTTGTGCTAATATTTTTGGATATATATAGATGACTATTGATCAGATTTTTGTTTAAATTTCAGGTGCCTTTCTCTTGCCTTATTTCCTCTGTGTATTTATTGGAGGTATACCGGTATTCTTTATGGAAGTTTCCCTAGGACAGTTTATGGGACGAGGTGGTCTAAAAACATGGAACATCGTACCTTTGTTTAAAGGTAGGTATTGGATTCAGTAACATTCCTCCGAAATTAAGTAAAATAATATATTGAAATTGTTACACTGTATCAAGAACCGAACCCAGCATTCCCAGGAACAGGCATGCCAAGTTTCATGTGGATCGTACTTGAATTGGCGGAGCTTTAGTCTTTTTGAGGGTCGCCCTCAAGAAGAAGAACAAGAAGATAAATACCGCTTGGGGACTAGTTCCACATCCAAAACATATGTATAGCTTTAAACTCATTTTTTTTATAAACAATATTTATTCAGAAACTGAGAGGATTGGTGAACAGGCAAAGTCTATATAAACCCCTCTCCCGGTTACAAATAAACTACATAATATTACAATAGATTGAAAAACAAAGAAAGAGAGGGAGAGAAATGGGGTTTAACGTCCACTCGACACAAACTAGTTCATTTCGGGACTAACATATGGTTCATTTTATTTCATTAATTCGCTTGCGCGTAGAGGTCTTTAGCAGTGGGAGGAAACCGGAGGACCCGGAGAAAACCCACGAGGTTGGACAGGCAACCCTACTCCTTGTCACGTACAACCGGGGATTCGAAACCACACCAGTTGACTCAATGACAGGCCGTATGATACAGCACGCACGTGCTAACCATTCGGTCATCCAACTCCCTAAAAACAAAGAAGAAAAAAGGAAAATATACATATATGCACACATAACCCATAATAATATATACATGGAAACATAAATTTGAAATATTTAAAATCCACTAATTTTTTAATATTTAAATCTTTTTTTTTTCAATAAAATTATATGCATGGTTAAATACATTTTCTTCGTGCGTTAGCTTTTCCGATCCATGTAATATAATAATGCATGGAATTAATTGTGTTTCGTATTGTTTTTTTTTTATAGGTATTGGTATAACAGTATGTATTATAGTGTTTTTGTTAAACTGTTACTATAATGTCATTTTATGTTGGGCATTCTACTACATGTTCAACTCTTTCCAAGCTGAACTACCATGGAGATATTGTGGACATGAATGGAACACCATTTGGTGTAATGACGATTTTGGTTCCAACGTAACGTTGAATGACACCTTGGCTAAAAACAACTTAACATTCAACCCAATGGAGGTTTACAAATTCTCCGATCCCGTAACGGAGTTTTGGGAGTAAGTATATTGTCTATCCCCACGTGGATGTCATCACCTTTTTTAGATTTCGACTCAATCTCTATATACCAACAACGGGGCTTGCGTTTCAAACTCTTTGGCCGAATGGTTAGCACGAGTGCGTTGAATCATAAGGTCTGTCATTGAGTCAACTGGCATGATTTTGATCCCCCAGTTGTACGTGATAATGGGTAGGGTCGCCTGTCCAACCTCGTGGGTTTTCTCCGAGTCCTCCGGTTTTCTCCTACTGCTAAAAGAGTGGGAGAAAGTGAATTATTGAAATAGAATTGAACCATATGTTATTCTCGAAATGACTTAGTTTGTGTCGAGTGGACATTAAAGGCGCTCTCTCTCTCTCCCTCTCTCTCTCTCTCTCTCTCTCTCTCTCAAACTCTTTGATTAAGGAGTAATACTTTAGTATCGAACGATTGAATTGGAGAGATGCATGAGAATCAACTAATTATTTTATGAAAGACTGAGAAATTAATGCAGTCAAGCTAAACCTATATGAAAATACTTCTCTGAATCTCAAGACTGTTTTCATATCCATTGCTGTATTTTAATGCATTGAATTGGTTGTCGTTTATTAAAAATTTAACTTCCAATATATAAGGCAAGATATTATGGACAGGTTGATTTAACAAGTTATTTACATAAGAAGACGTGATATAGAAAATGGGTAAAAACATAAAAAAATGAAAAGTTATTAAAATCGTTGTCGTGAGAAGAGAGGGCGGGTCATCTTCTCAATTTGTCATAATGAAAACAAGTTAAAACAATAGGATTGAAAAGACTTGTGGGGTAAAAAGAATCCGCTGTTTAATGTGAAAACGGTTCTCAAAGTAAAACTCACATAGCTGGACCCGTGATATTCAATTGGAGACAAGCCTTTTTTTTGTATTAAACCCAATTTCCTCTTTGCCTAATTTTTGTTTTTGTTTTTTAAAGGTTAAAAACGTTGGCTATATCTGATGGTATTGATGAGGTTGGAACGATTAAATGGGATTTAGCTTTGTGTTTATTATTCGCATGGATCGTCGTCTATCTCTGTATCTGTAAGGGTATCAAATCTTCTGGAAAGGTAGGTCAACTGTTTTATAGTTCTAAATTTCGTTTTACGTGTTTTTACTACACTAGAATCTGGAAGAGTTGTTATATAACCTGGATGATGTGAGTGGTTAGCCAATGAAACGGTTTGTTACGGCGAATTTTTTGCGTGAGGCGCACGGAACTGTGGGTAACCCACAAGAAACATCAACGCTGAATGATTATTCAAATGTCTGACGTCATAGGGTCAGTAGCCGCTCGTATGACCTCTGACGCGACCTTCCACTACAACCGGTCGGATCATCATGTAGTGTAGGCCATCAAAAGTATAAAGAAAACCCTAAATATAGATCTGTATTTGAATCAGATCAGATTGATGTCTATGACAATGTTTATCACCCCTTATTTTTTACTATATTATATATAGATAAGAAAACCATTATGAGCAATTATAGTTACTCTACTTGGCAAGACTTCAACAAATGTTTTGCATAAACAGTCGGTTACTTGGGTTTAATGTTGTTTATCGAAAGTATAAAAATAAAACAAAACGAAATATAGATCTGTATTTTAATCAGCTTGACGTTTGTGTACATGTCAAGATATACTGGCAAGATTTAGGGAATAACAAAATGGTCGTATTTAATGTTGCCGTTTGCATGTAAAAAATACGCAACAAAATAAAATAAAAGAATTAATTAAATAAATACTTTTATTAAAACCATTTTATTATTCAGGTTATGTATGTGACTGCTACATCACCATATATTTTTATTTTATTATTCAGGTTATGTATGTGACTGCTACATCACCATATATTTTTATTTTATTATTCAGGTTATGTATGTGACTGCTACATCACCATATATTTTTATGTTAATTCTGCTGATTAGAAATTCTTTACTAGACGGTGCTTATGACGGTGTTATATTTTACCTGAAACCAGATTTAGAGAGACTGAAAGACACGAGGGTAAAAACATATTATTATGCCATATCGGACCTTTGTTACATATTGATGACTGGTTCCCAGGGAGAGGGGAGTAGGGCGGGATAGATACTAAACAGTTAAATGGCTAATATATCTCTTTGGGACTAGGGGGTGGGGGTGGGGTTGGATGGCCGAATGGTTAGCACGTGCGCGTTGCATCGTAAGGTCTGCCATTGAGTCAACTGCTGGCGCGGTTTCGATTCCCCGGTAGTACGTGACAAGGGGTAGGGTTGTCTGTCCAACCTCGTGGGTTTTCTCCGGGTCGTCCAGTTTCCTCTCACTGCTAAAGACCCCCTATGCGCAAGCGAATTATTAAAATAAAATTGAACCATGTGTTAGTCCCGAAATGACCTAGTTTGTGTTGAGTGGACTTTAAACCCCCTTGCTCTCTTTCCCTCTCTCCCTTTGAGTATGACGATAAAACCTAAGGTATAAGTGGCGATAAATTGTTTCATGTTTTTGTCTTATTTATAGGTATGGGTAGATGCTGGAACACAGATTTTCTTCTCTTACTCGCTAAGTTTAGGTACGCTCAATGCTTTAGGAAGTTACAACAAATTTAACCACAATTCATACAGGTAAGTCAAGGACAATACTAGCTACTAATTACAGGGGGTGGTGGTCTATATTGATTCAATCGGAAAGTTCACTTAGCAAATATATATCTGCTGATGAAAGAAATCGTGAGTGTTCAATGAACTGTAAAAGTCAAAAGTGCAATCTTGATCAAATCCTGTCATTTGTTCTGTATTTTATCTTTGACAAACAATAATGGTGGAAAGGGCTAGTGGTTGTTAATCTGATAAAGTGGCAATTAACCTCGTAACCCCTAACCTCGGGTATAGTTTAAAGTAGCTAAGTCTCTAACTCAATATCATTCAATCTTCGACATTGAAAACAAAATTTTTTTGTCAATTTAAATCAACATTGTTGTTGTGATTTCACCAGGAAAAGATGGGCTTCTGATATCCAATATTTAAGACAAAATGCGTTTCGAAGAACGAGGCTAGACATATTCTAAAAGTCATGTCAAACATATTCTTATCTGGATCGAGCGTGCGCAGTAAATACTATCGGTGTAGACTGGAATAACCAGATGCTAGAAATTGCTATTCGATTTAGACTTCATGCGTATTTCGCCGAAAATAACTGATTTGAAAATAGAGTAAAGTGGGGAACGAATGAATGTAAATCAGTTTATATACATTCATATTACATTATTATATGCGTTGTGACCCATTTGTGTCAATTTCTAGGTCCCAAATATTAGAGATTTGCCTCCTTTAATCAATTTAATGCAATATTGTAAATATATAACTGAACCGTAGTTTATAGTTCCAACAATCGGCCGTAGGAGCAATAAAAGACAACAGAGAGAGGTAATGTAAACAATTAGACAGATATTAATGGATCACATCAAAGTGACATTCAATAACTTGACTGGTTTATCTTGTCTCCGAGGACCCTGATGTCGTTTACAGCGCTACTCCAAATATTAACATGTACTTTACCTTGCAGTTAAAGTGAATCCAAATACAAAATTTCCTTCACTCACGTTTACATCGGTTAGCCACTGGTCGTTATTTGGGGAATTTTGGTATTTTAACCATAGCGCCAAAATTAAACATTATTATTTAACCATAGCGCCAAAATTAAATATTGTTTCTTAAACATAGCGCCAAAATTAAACAGTGTTATTTAACCATAGCGCCAAAATTAAACAGTGTTATTTAACCATAGCGCCAAAATTAAACATTGTTTTTAACCATAGTGCCAAAATCAAACTGTGTTTAAACATTGTTGTTTTAACTATAGCGCCAAAATTAATCATTGTTTAAACATTGTATTTTAACCATAGCGCCAAAATTAAACATTGTTATTTTAACCATAGAGCCAGAATTAAACATTGTTTAAACATTGTTATTTTAACCATAGCGCCAGAATTAAACATTGTTTAAACATTGTTTTTTAACCATAGCACCAAAATTAAACACCACTTTTATTCTCTATGACTTTTTTCGCATCGGTATAAATTAAGGGTGTCCGTGATCATTCTTATCGATCTCCGAAAAAAAAAGTCACTATGTTAATTATTATTCTAAAAGTGACCCAAATAAAGTTGGTAGTAAGTCAAATAGTAAATTTATTTCATTGTGTACATCGCGTTATGGAATATTTTAAATCAACAACAAAATGGAATTTCCTGATATGTTGATATTAATAACAAAAACAGAAATAAACATTTGTATTTTTATTTAGTGAGTCTTCCCTTTAAGAAATTAGTATTTAGTAATGTGTGCTAATTTGTATTTTTATTTAGTGAGTCTTCCCTTTAAGAGAAATTAGTATTAAGTGATGGGAAAACAGTTAAGATATGTGCTAATTTGTATTTTTATTTAGCGAATCTTCCCTTTAAGAGAAATTACTATTAAGTGATGGGAAAACAGTTAAGATATGTGCTAATTGAAATACGATATGATTGTGTAGAAGATTAAAGATATCATATTATACTTACTCGCCAATTTTCTATAAATATGCTATACATATTCTATAAATATTTATATATGAATTAAGTAGTTAAACGAGGAAAATGTACTAGGATCTTCACTCAGATCGGTGTCAGCAGTGTAATATTTTGTGATTTAGAAATCTATTTGAACCCTCTTCAATTACAACGTTGTTCAGTTTTTATAGTTCAAAATTTCGTTTTACTTGTCTTTACTACACTAGGATCTAGACGAGTTGATATATAACAGGCGTTCTAGTTGATGTGACGAATTAGCCAATGAAACGGTCTGTTACGGCGAGTTCTTGACGTGATCTGCACTGAACTATGGGTAAACCACTAGAAACGTCAACGCTGATTGTTTAATGAATGTCTGACATCATAGGGTCAAAAACCGCTCGCATGACCACAGGCGCGACCTGCCAGTACAACTGGTCAGGTCTTCATATAGTGTAGACCATCGAAAGTATAAAAAACGAAACAAATCATAGATCTTTATTTTAATCAGATTTATCTCTGCTCGTCAAAATTCATGCACATATACAACACGCGCCATTATCCAAACATTCTTCACAATCTGCATTCACATCACATCCCGTTCACACGGTCTTTCCTACTCACAGCGGCACCCATGTGTAATCTACGTTCACATCACATCATAGTCTGTTTCTACCCAAACTCAAAAACTACAATCAGATTAACATCCAAGTACAGCTTGTTACTACGTTTACATTGAGTTTAAAATCAACATTAACATCCCAGTACAGCCTGTTACCTACGTCTAAACTGAGTCAAAATCTACAGTAACATCCAGATCTGTGTCTACGTCTAAGCTGAGTTAAAGTCTACAGTAACATCCAGATCTGTGTCTACGTCTAAGCTGAGTTAAAGTCTACATTAACATCCCAGTACGGTCTGTTTCTACGTTTAAACTGACTTAAAGTCTACAGTAACATCCCGGTCTGTGTCTACGTCTAAGCTGAGTTAAAGTCTACATTAACATCCCAATAAAATATGTTTCTACCCACATCGGCACCCAATACAACTGTTAGTGTATAACGAATAAAATAACATACCCAACGCAATATTCCTACCACACCAAGCCTTCAAGGAATGAAACCAAAATGCCTTTTCAATTGACAAATATTAGGAAGCGTGTACTCATAATTCTGAAAGGATATTCTAAAGTTTTTATAAATATGTATTTTCAGGGATGCCATATTGTTTTCTTTAGCCAACAGTGGAACAAGTTTTTTCGCCGGTTTTATTGTGTTCACTATCCTGGGCTATATGGCTAAAATCCAGGGAGTTCCTATTTCCGAGGTGGCCGAATCAGGTAATCAATGTGTTCTTAAAATAATTCGTCTGTCCAACCTCGTGGTTTTTCTCCGGGTCCTCCGGTTTCCTCCCACTGCTAAAGACCCCTACGCGCAAGCGAATTATTGAAATAAAAATTGAACCATATGTTAGTCCCGAAATGACCCAGTTTGTATCGAGTGGAGGTTACCCCCCCCTCTCTCTCTCTTTCTCTCTCTCCCTCTGTTACGACTAGCTTTAGACGTGTTCTGCATGGAACTGTGGGTAATTCACTAGTAACATCAATGCTGTTTGGTTAATCAAATGTCTGACGTCATAGGGTCAAAAGCGGCTCGTGTGACCTCTTACGCGACCTATCGTTACAACCGGTCAGATCTTCGTGTAGTGTAGGCCATCGAAAGTATAAAAAAAACGAAACGAAAGATAGATCTGTATTTAAATCAGATTGTCAGTGCAGTAGTATGTGGACATGGATGTTTCAACTGAAACGCGTCAAATCAACGGACTAGTTGTTAGTACTAAATGATAAGGCCAGCCCAATTTTTCGTTAGGAGATGTAAACAGGGCTAGATCTAATCCCAACCCTAACCCTAAACCTGAACCTAGCCCCAATGCTTACCCTAACCCTAACCTACAATCTCGCCAACAATCACGTGCCCTAACCGTATTGACATCTCAGCGACCTTTACAAACATTGAGCTGGCCTTAACAAATAGATTTAGCCACGGACTAGGGGATTGTACCTGTTATACGAAACTGAATATGACGTGATTGTCGCATTATGAGAATCCATAGAAGTTGTAGTGTGTAGATTTTCCAATACGTCACATGTTCATAATGATTAATATGTTCGTATCTATTGACGACTGAGTTTAAACTTTACGATTTCTTTGTATATCGGGGGTGGGGGGTGGGCTGAAATGTTTTCTAAGTTATTAATTACACATTTATTAACATGAAAAGACCATAATCAACTCTCGATGCATTCTTATGTGTACGATTTTTATTGGATTTGAATCCGATCTGCTGTTTAACGTTCGTTGATGATTAAACGCAAAATGAATAATCGTGACTTTGTTAATTATCGTGACAGCAGTAACAATGACAATCGAGGCTACGGTGATTTTTAAAATAAGGTTTTGTTTTCTTGGCATAGAGTGAAGCAATTGGACTGAAATTTTCAGCAAATACCCTTTACATCATCTATTTTTTAACTATTATAGTGAGAACTGCCAGCTCTTTATCTAATCTCCCATAATGTATCTTTATATTTACTTTCTGTTTATAGATATCTTTTTAAAATTTTGTATTTTAATTGTATGTTTTAGGACCCGGATTAGCTTTTATTGCCTATCCCAAGGCTGTATCTCAGATGCCGGTAGCACCTCTATGGTCTATACTCTTCTTTCTAATGGTGATTCTACTAGGTCTAGACAGTCAGGTTAGTATAGAGTAAATTCCTTACCCAACATGATTGTTATCTCCGTGGCTAACTTACCCAACATGATTGTATCCCCGTGGCTAACTTACCGATTGTATCTCCGTGCCTAACTTACCCAACATGATTGTATCTCCGTGCCTAACTTACCCAACATGATTGTATCTCCGTGCCTAACTTACCGAACATGATTGTATCTCCGTGGCTAACTTACCGATTGTATCTCCGTGCCTAACTTACCGAACATGATTGTATCTCCGTGCCTAACTTACCGAACATGATTGTATCTCCGTGACTAACTTACCGATTGTATCTCCGTGGCTAACTTACCGAACATGATTGTATCTCCGTGCCTAACTTACCGAACATGATTGTATCTCCGTGACTAACTTACCGATTGTATCTCCGTGGCTAACTTACCGAACATGATTGTATCTCCGTGGCTAACTTACCGAATATGATTGTATCTCCGTGGCTAACTTACCGAATATGATTGTATCTCCGTGGCTAACTATTAGGATAAGTTTTAATGTCGCGGTAAAATGACAATGCCCTTTACAACGATAAAATAAATTCTTTATAACGATATAATAAAGATGGCCGTCTGATTAAAAGTCAGAAGGGGATCACATTACGTTTCGTTTATATTTTGTAGTGTTAAAATCAGATAAAATAAACGAAACGAAATTATACTTAAAACCCAAAACTTTAGACTGTCCATGGGAAATCTTCACCTTTCATGTTTGAATCTTGCGTACATTTTGAAAATAATAAACATTTTTCAAATTATCGTCCCCCCATCCCCTCTGAGGGTGTGTGTGGTCCTCCCCCGGGAAATGTTTTGAAATTTCGACCAGAAATGGTGGTCTGTTTAGTATATCCGGGCGGGATGTCATATACTTATTTTTAATCAGTGAGTGTCGATTTGGGGGAAATGAGTCTTCGTTATTTTTTTCTACAAAATATATATATAAAATGGTCACCAAATCACCGAGCCCCTAGGGCATTTGTCTCTGTTGCCCTCGCCATGATCCGTCGCTGTGTGTTGATCTGAATAGTTGTTGGGCTGCAATTCTTTTGTTGTAGGCGCCGGGGTGGGAGTGGAGTGGGGTGGGTGGGGGGATGGCCGAATGGTTAGCACGTGCGTGCTGTATCATAAGATCTGTCATTGAGTCAACTGGCGCGGTTTCGATTCCCCGGTTGTACGTGACAAGAATTAGGGTTTTTCTCCGGGCCCTCCGGTTTTCTCCAACTGCTAAAGACCCCTACGCCCCCCTCTCTCTCTCTCTCTCTCTCTCTCTCTCTCCTCTCTCTCTCTCTTCTCTCTCTCTCTCTCTCTCTCTCTCTCTCTCTCTATCCTCTCTCTCTCTCTCTCTCTCTCTATCATCTCTCTATCATCTCTCTCTCTCTCTATCCTCTCTCTCTCTCTCTCTTCTCTCTATCTCTCCTCTCTCTCTTCTCTCTCTCTCTCTCTCTCTCTCTCTCTCTCTCTTCTTCTCTCTCTCTCTCTCTCTCTCTCTCTCTCTCTCTCCTCTCTCTCTCTCTCTCTCTCTCTCTCTCTCTCTCTCTCTCTCTCTCTCTCTCTCTCTATTTGTATATTTGTATTTCAGTTTGTAGGTGTTGAAGGTGTAGTTACTGCTGTAGTTGATCAATATCCAGATTTTTTAAGAAAAGGCTACAGAAAGGAAATGTTTATAGGATTTATTTGTGTGTTGAATTTCTTTGTTGGACTTTCCATGGTAACAAATGTAAGTAATTTAATTTATTGAACTTTCCATGGTAACAAATGTAAGTAATTTAATTTATTGAACTTTCCATGGTAACAAATGTAAGTTAATTAATTTAAAGTGCCCTTAAATGCCCTTTGAATTGAGACTGGGTTCTCTGAGATAAATAGTTCGGATAAGTATGCCAATCAAGAGCCAAGAGGTACACAAATAGTCTGTAAACCATGTCCGAAAGTTTCAGCTCAAAATAGTTAATCGTTTGAAATAACAGTCAAAACACATTATAGGGGCGACGTTACTGTTTTAGAGCGCTCGCTTTAAATTTAATATAAAATGGCCTGATAATCATGACTATTTGAAGCCGTTTGCAAACTTTCCTACGCACTAGATTAGCAGTCTATTCAATGAATATTTATTCCTTTAGAATATTTTCAAATCAAATATGGCCATCGAGTCAGACTTACAATTTCTATGCTCTTTAAGTTATTATCATGTTTTGGGGATTTTAAAGGATCCATTCTTTTACACAGTTGTGGGCATTTTTTTTTATCACAGTCTGGTTAGAATACTGGTCTACATTTCTTTTCGTTTTTTTTTGATACTTTCAATGGCCTTAACTAGAAGACAAGTTAAATTTTAAACTAAAGAAAACGATACGAAATGTGACCTCAGATTTTTTATTATCATACCACAGAATTTTATTTAATTTGATTATTTTGTTTATTTAATTTCAGGGCGGAATGTATGTCTTTCAACTGTTTGATTATTATTCTGGTAGTAGAATTATTTTACTTGTTGCTTTCTTTGAGTTGATTGCTGTAGCCTATTGTTATGGTAAGCTTAAATTAAAATGCTATTTTTTTGTTAGACTACAACTGGACTCCCCTTACAAAAATATCCCTTAAAACTTTATAAATTGACTTAGTTCCCATGCCTAAAGATATGTATTATGAGTCTTGTATCTGGTGGTATTTGTTTCCTCGTGCAAAAGCACAAAGCCTCTGACTTTACGACAAGATATTTGGGATATTTCTTGACAATATGGGATTAAAATTGTATACATACTTATACCCAGATGTATTGTCTTTGTTCTCTTAGTTTTTAACGTCCGCTTCCACCGAAGGTGATATCGCAGACAACCCAGTTGTATCAACGGGTACCCCGTTAAATATGGGACGTCTCCCGCATAAAATATTGGACTTCTCCCGTGAAAAATATGGGACTTCTCCAGTCAAAAATATAGTACTTCTCCCGCCTAAAATATGGGCCTCCTCCCGTCAAAAATAAGGGACTTATCCCGTCAAAAAATAGGACTTCTCCCGCCAAATATATGGGACTTCTCCCGCCAAAAATATTGGACTTCTCCCTCCAAATATATGGGACTTCTCCCGCCAAAAATATGGGACTTCTCCCGTCAAATATATGGGACTTCTCCCGTCAAAAATATGGTACTTCTCCCGCCTAAAATATGGGACTTCTCCCGTCAAAACTATGGGACTTCTCCCGTCAAAAATTTAGGACTTCTCCCTCCAAAAATAAGAGAACATGAGTGTGAGATGTCTTTGGTCATTATACGAATTTAGTGATGAAATGTCCAGAATTGACCGTCTGGAACTTGTTATCAGAGAATGTTATATGCTATACATTAACTATATTTTACTCAACTTAAGTCGATTTAAACTCTTCATATAGTTTCTTACAGTTCTTATATTTTAATTCTGTCTTTTTTTACCCAGGTGTAAACCGTCTCTATGACAACATTGAAATGATGTTGGGCAGAAGGATTTGGCCATACATGAAAATATGTTGGCTGTTTTTCTCACCACTTTTCTGCATCGTGAGTAGATGTTACTTATTTACACCCCGAGAGAGAGAGAGAGAGAGAGAGAGAGAGAGAGAGAGATTGGAATTGACAGATGACATGTCTGGGCTGTACAATTAGACTGTCACTATGTGTTCCATACACGCCTCGACATACATATTGTATTACAGGGACTTTGGATAGAGGCAAAATGAAAAGATATTTTTTTGTTTTTCAGGTTATTTTTATTTTGAGTGTCATAAATTACTCTGGAATGACAAACTTTGGATAAAGGCAAAATGTAAAGATATTTTATTTGTTTTTCAGGTTATTTTCATTTTGAGTGCCATCAATTACTCTGAATTAGAATATGAGCGACCACGTAATACCTACGTATACCCCGATTGGGCCGTTGGGATTGGTTGGGCCATGGCTTGTGCATCGGTTATTTTCATTCCGTTGACTGCTTTCTATACATTTATAAAATATGGATTTACTATGGAGGTGAGTTGATCTTTATATTACGGCACTGATTCAACTTATTATACTAATAAAGACGCAATGAAAACACAACACCTTTTTAAATGGACGTGACAAGGAGTAGGATGGACTGTCTTACCTCGTGGATTTTCTCCGGGTCCTCCGGTTTCCTCCCAAGGAGTAGGGTCTCCTGTCCAACCTCGTGGGTTTTCTCCGGGTCCTCCGGTTTCCTCCCACTCCTAAAGACCCCTACGCGCAAGCGAATTATTGAAATAAAATTGAACCATATGTTAGTCCCGAAATGACCTAGTTTGTGTCGAGTGGACGTTAAACCCCATTTCTCTCTCTCTCTCTCTCTCTCTCTCTGAGACGCGATGAAAACATAACACCTTTATTAATCGACGTGACAAGGAGTAGGGTGGACTGTCGAACCCCGTGGGTTTTCTCCGGATCCTCCGGTTTCCTCCCAAGGAGTAGGGTCGCCTGTACAACTTCGCGGGTTTTCTCCGGCTCATCCGGTTTCCTCCTACTGCTAAAGACATCTACTCGCAAAGGAATTATTGAAATAAAAGCGGGCCATATGTTAGGTCCAATATGACCTAGTTTGTGTCGAGTGGACTTTAAACCTCATTTCCCTCTCTTGTTTATAAATGGATGAAATGTACGATGTAATCTTGTAATTCTGAATGTAACAACATCAGATCATGACGATGTTTTCACGATCGCATAATCGCATCACAGATCAAATCTCATAATTATGGAAGCGTATAGGGGTCAATAGAGCGATACATACCGCGATATTAATACAGTAATATGTCAACATATTGTGATTGTTCTGATGATTTTATCTCGGAAAAGACAATTTGTGCCGAGTTGGTGGAATCAACGCGCTATGTTATATGTCCCCATTTCATTTTAAATGCGCACGTTTGCGTTACGATAATGCTATTCTGAAGCTTCGTCAACATATTCCATTTCGCCGCAGTATATGTCATCTATAGCTGGTCATATGCGAAGCGACCCATATCATCTATAGCTGGTCGTATGGGAAGCGTATCGTGTCATCTATAGCTGGTCGTATGGAAAGTCAACTCCAACTTAGGTCAGATATAAAAACAATCAGGGATCAGAAACCTATAAATCTTTCAGGATATAAACCAAAACAATCTTTCATTTTAGGTGTTGCGACTTTCTATAAGGCCGTATGGACTGAAAGATCACCAGAAACGTATTCAAGATATCAATGAACGAACCCTGGAAGATCTAGAGAAGGAGAACAATAGAGGTGTACAATATGATAATGGACAAGTTAACCTTGGATTCGAAAAGACCAAGGGGACGTATCCCGAGCCACATTTTACTCAGCTTTAACATCATTATATAATGGGCTAAATCTATTTGTTAAGGCCAGCTAGGTCCAGGGTTTAGGTTTTAAATTGAGCTGGCCTTATCATTTAGCACTAACCTAATATAATGTGTTATTAATCGTCTCAATCTGAGAATTATAATCCCTGTTTTTAAAACATTCCTTTGAACCAATCAAATAACATATTAACACTTTATCGAATTCCAACCAATGATGTAGCAGCAGAATATTATGTACGCTATGCAGCCCCCCCCCCCCCCCTTAAACAAATTCAAATAGCAGTAGTTAAAGAGTTTTTGCGGAGGTCCCCCGATCCAGTAAAAGTATTCAGGACGTTTGGTGATCATTTTCTTTACATAATTTGAAACACTCGTGTGTATTTAAACGATTATTTTAAAGGGCAAATAAAGTGAAATATGGCCTGAATTTATCACATTCGCACCACACCCCGTTTTGTTTTTATTTTCTCCCTTTTTAATAGATTACGTAGACTAGTTATTTTTTTAAAATAAAAATAGTTTTACTGTATATGAGGCCGATAACAAACACCATATATCAACTGTTACTAACGGGTATGCACTAATGTTTTTCTGGTTTTTATTTTCGAAATATTCAATGACAGTGATAAACATGTATTTTTGTATTTCTGATACACTCGATTGACCGTTACATTGTTTCCATAACAACCCGTTGGACATAAACACGGGGCTTGAGCATTTCACTGTTTGTATAATAACCCGTTGGGTATATACATTGTTTAAATAATAACCCGTTGGGTATATATATACATACACGGACAGGAACAATGTTTATATAATAACTGGACATGAGTATTTCATTGTTTACATAATAACCCTGTATATACACGGACAGGAACAATGTTTGCATAATAACCCTATGGGTATATATACGGACAGGAACAATGTTTGCATAATAACCTGTTGGGTATATACACGGACGGGAACAATGTTAACATAATAACCTGTTGGGTACATACACGGACAGGAACAATGTTAACATAATAACTCATCGGGTATATACATGGGCAGGAACAATGTTAACATAATACCTGTCGGATATATACACGGACAGAAACAATTCATTGTTTACATAATATCTCGTTTAATACATGTACATACACGGACGGGAACATTTCAGGTGTTGCAATATAGACATAAAACACGCAAGATACGTGGGCAGTTTTTATTGTTGTTGTAAATTTTATAGTTTTTAATCAGTTTATTGTTTGTCTATATTTACTGTAATCCTATAATCAACCCTAGTGGATATAAAACATGGTTTTACTCAACTTAGGAATTAATCAAATTTACATAATTTCTATACTGCATTGACATATTATGTGTAGGATAAAACAAGAGACTGAGGTTATGCTGGTGAAAGAAATACTGACGAAAATAACCCGAGAAAAAGAAAAACCGTTGCCGACAGGCCGGAGTTTTTCTGTCGGTTTTTTTTCTGAAGTCTTTCTGCCCCAGCATAATCAAAGTCGAGGACTTTGTCTTGTTTACATGTACGTAAAATGAGATTAGAGACTTTTGGCAAGCGGATTTTCCCCATCCGTATCCCGTATCCGTATCGTATACGTGATACGTTGCGTCAATGTAGTTTTAGAGTTTTGGCAGATTTTAGCAATTTTTGGTTTCACTAGTGTATTATTTCAGAAAGTTTAGCACTTAGATCAATCAGTATGCAGACAGGCGGGAAAAATATGAAAATTCCGAGAAAAACCCATCAAAAATAATGATTAAATTCCAGTCGTTATCACTGTTAAAATCACATCAAATACACACCTTCGTGTTCTAGGATACACACAGATTCATAAAAACGCTATGATGCAACATTTCAGCGTCTAAAAGTAGCAAAAAAAGACGGGAAAAGGACAACAGTGTTATACGGACCATTTCCGTATGAAAGCCGTTCCATACGTGCTGCCGTATCCGTGTGCCGTGTATGAGAAATACACAGACATTGATGACGTCACACGCAAAATCCATACGGATACGCGATACGGACCAGGAAAATACGCTTGCCAAAAGTCTCTAATATCCCAGAATTCCCGTAAGAAAAACCTTATATCATGTTTTCTTATGGAAAAAAAACTACCCTGGAAGAATAACCCGTTACAGGTTTAAAGAAAAACTTTCAGAAGAATAACCCCAAATTCCTCTGTATATATACAAAGCCGGTCCGACTTTCAGACCGCAAGTTATTTCGGGCATAGAGTCAAAGAGATTTACCGATATAGGTTTATCAATCAAAAGTAAAATACTGGTGTTTTGAAATGTATAATATTTGAATACATCTTGGGTTGAGTTATACCAAGAGTTTGATGTCCTTAGCAAATTAAAATTTATATGCTGTTTTATACAAAGTAGCAGATTTTTATTTTTAAAATTTATATTCTATGAATAAAGATATTTTTATTATATATTGGGTGGTTCTGATGGTGTTATTTTTATCGCCAAATCTAGTTTAGCTTTTTCAAGAACTGTTATATCGAGCAAACATTTCATTTGATTGAAAATGCTAAACAGAGTTATCTTCCTTTAATTGATACGCTTTACTTGAAAATTGATCATTAGATTTATCAAAAGATGACTACCAGAGCAACTTCAAATGAAGAGTGTCCCGTAATTCGGAGAGGGGCGGGGTGCGGTGACAGGGGCGCCCCCCCCCCCCCTGCTCAGCTACATATTTTTTTTGTAAAACAACATTTTAAATCACAATGTTATCGTATGAAATTCATTATAAAAATTGACGTCAAACAGGATGTTGGATTTCTCTGTTTAAAAAGCTCATTGTGTATGTATATACGCGAAAATGACGAAAGAGACCATGTATTTCTCAAAAAATTTCAAGCCGGAGGTTGGGGGAATACATTTTCTCAGGAATCTGGCAAACCCCCTGCTGGAAAAACTAATTTGACAATTTCCAACTGCTCATTTGATACTCGAATAACTATAAGCTAATATCTACATTGGGAAATTGACCGTAAGAGGTAGGCTAAATCTATTTGTTAAGGCCAGCTCAATTTTTGTCAAGGTCGCTGAGATGTAAATAAGTTTAGGGCACGTGATTGTTGGCGAGATTGTAGGTTAGGGTAAGCAAGGTTAGAGTTAGGGCTGGGATTAGCGCTATGACGTCCCGAAATAACCTAGTTTGTGTCGAGTGGACGTTAAACCCCATTTCGCCCTCTCTTTCTTTTTCTTCTCGGTATCAATATGCTGGACATTTAATGTCACCATCAAAAATCACCTGGCTTTAGCTAAAATCAAACTTAACCCAGAAATCATTTAGCCGGTGATTAATATCTGTGAATATAATGTCACGATTTTAGGATCTTGTTGAGAAAACACCAGCAAACCCAAATAATTTATTACAGTCATTACTTATTAATTAAATAAAGATATAACAAACCAACATAATAATCGTATATATAGGCACATTAAATAGACTGAAAACGGTAAGGAAAATAATGCACAAATAGAAGCGACAAGAATGCATGATCTGATATTGATTGTCGATTCAGTTAAGAAAATGAATTGTTCGCAATAAAAGCATTGATTGTCTGCAAATTACAAAGGCATTAATTATTTGGTGCTCTTTACCAATCGATCAAATAATAATTGTAGATTCTACAACACCTTGATAGAGTTCAAAAAGAACTTAATGCAAACATTGACTGAAACCGATCAATATATCGCTGAGGTATTGATATTCGATAATTTCAGAATTTGATGACTACGATCTTTACAAACACTGACTTAAAGATACATTCGGCACGAGTTAGATCTTCCGTGGGGTTGCATGGCCGAACGGTTATCGCGTGCGTGTTGTATCGTAATGTATGTCATGGACTCAAATGAAGTGGTTTCGATTCCCCGGTTGTACGTGATGACGACGGGTAGGGTCGCCTGTCCAACCTCGTTGGTTTTCTCCGGGTTCTCCGGTTTCCTCCCACTGCTATTTGCTAAAGACCCCAGGACAACGGCACCATGGCCTACTCTTATATCGAAATCCAACTACCAAGGGATCGTTACGTGCATGCCAATATGTACACGGGACCTCGGTTTTTCGTATCATCCGAACGACTAGACAGCTGTCCTTGTTAGACCCTCCATTCTGCACCACTGACAAGGGAAAACCACGTCGGAAAACTCGATGAACTCAAAATGAAGTAATTTGACAGATCAGCAATGTTCAATATAATTCTTTTTTATTATCTATTTTTAAACTTTGATAGCGAGAACTATCAGCTATTTATAGAAATCGTACATAATACATCTATAAAAAGAAATTATTCGAAGTAGATCAGTGACTCATTTTTTCAGTAATTAGCCGAGTTAATGATTATTTACAATATGACGTTATACAAAATGAATTATCTTGGTGAAATTAATCACCCCTTTAAATTCTTGTTTATTTCTCGAGAAACCTAGTGACTGGGTGTTACTGTATCGGCACTTATATACAAATCATTCTCCATTATTTCCATATCAGGTTTGGCATCCATAATTTCCATATCAGGTTTGATATCCATACTCAAATATAATTCATTCTCCATTTCATTCTTTGTGGAATTTCTTTTCACTGGAAAAACAGGAGTAAAATTTTAAATAACTATTTCACCAAACAAAAGCATTTCCTAGTTACGTATGCTCAGTGGTGTGGAGGGAGGAATGGGAAGTGGGGGTGAGGGTCAGGGTCAGAGGAGGACAACGGCCCTAGGGGTTGCATTTCAAGAGGACATTCAAAGGGTGGCATTTAAATTAAGTAGTTTCTTTTTGAAGAAATTTGAATTATCGTTGTTAACACTGTTGTAAATTGCCCTACTTAATTTGAGTTCAAAGTGTATTTAATACATTGTCATCAGGGGAGCGCAGTGACCAGCTTTGCGTCATTGTTTTGAGTTTTTTGCGCCCCCTTGAGTTTTTCCGCCCCTCGCAAATGTCAAAAAACCATGCGGTTTCAATGCGGTTTTCAACATTATAATCATAATGCTTAGCCAGTGTCAAACATATACCGTGTGTCAGATATGCTACAATTCGCCACTAGCATGTTCCACACAGTCCAATATTACCCTTGCCACTGGGAGGGACTGCCACCCCACGCCTCCCTCGCTCACACATATATATATATATATATAACTATTTAAAATGTCTCCCTTTCTCACAGTTCTGTCTACTAGGTTCTTCACTTGAGACTCAGGGACATCGAACTACTGGTCCCGAGCATTCCTAAATCTCTGCACGTCACTGTTTTTGTTACAGATCAGAAAGCTGCATGGGATATCTGGTCGTAAAACTTTATTACCTTTTTTAGGGTGCGATCGTCTAAGTAGTATAATAACTAATATAACTATTAGAATTATTAATATTATTATAATACCACTCCCAATACCGATACCAACTAAAACCTCTAACTCAGTATACTTAGGTTCAACTTTATCTGAAAAATATAGGATATAGAAATGGAATGATGTTTAACGTCCTACTGGGCTAATGAAGACGGGCATAACCCATACAGTGTGCTATGGGGGACATTTTGCTCGGGTAGTGGCACTTTGGCCTACTCTTATATCGAATTCCAACTGCCAAGGGATCTTTAACGAGTACGCCAATGTATACAAGGGCCTTCGGTTATTGGTCCCATCCGAACGACTAGACAGCTGTCCTTGTCATTCCCCCCATCCTTCACCACTGACAAGGGGAAACCACGTCGGAAAATCTCGATGAACTTTCTCGGCCAATGCCGGGATCGAACACCCAACCTCCAGGCTAGCGAGCCAGCGGATATCAATGCAATTTCAATATATTTGAAACTAATATCTCAATTTCACTTCGCTAAAACATGAAACACGGAAACTAAAGCACACGAAAAACGATTTGATAAAAGTATGTTTGATATGACATGAAACTAATATAAAGCAGAAGAAAAATTAATAAACGACCCTAACCCATATTTTTTTTTAAAAAATGTGTCACCAAATTAATATTAACTCACCAAGATTGGGAGGAACAGCCACTATCAGTTGAACATGTGAATGCACACAGCTATGATTGTTACATATAGTGCATTTGTACACCCCTTGGTCGGATTGTCGTACAGATGTAAGTTTTAGCACTGTTCTATTGGATGATATTTGTACAGACGAGTTGTAACTATTATTGATGCTTCTATACTCAATTGTAAATTGTAACACTTCTTCAGCTTTATGCCAGGTCACCTTACAGTACGAATAACATATGTATATTAGAGATAACTCGACATAATCGCCTGCAGTAGCATTCGTTTTGGTCATAGAGTTGCTGCTGTATAATTCTGGACTATCTTCAAAATAAAAGAGATAATAGGTTAAAATGATTGTAGTGTTAAATGTCTGAAACATCGTAGTTCTGAAAGCGTCAATCTGATTAAAACACAGATCCTATTTCGTTTCGTTTTTTTATAGTTCAAAATTTTGTTTTACTTGTCTGTAGTACACTAGGATCTGGAAGGGTTGTTATATTACCGGCGTCCTGGTTGAAGTGTGGGGGGGGGGGTAAGCCAATGAAACACTCTGTTACGGCGAGTTCTTGGCATTTGAACTGTGGGTAAACCATTAGAAACGTCAACACTGATTGACTAATCAATGTCTGACGTCATAGGGTCAAAAGCCGCAAACTCCCACTACAACTCGTCAGATCTTTATGTAGTGTAGGCCATCGAAAGTATAAAAAACGAAACTAAATATAGATCTGTATTCTAATCAGATTGTGAAAGCACTATAATACGTTACATATTCTGAATTATTTATGTTAGAGCTTGTCACAAATAGGACTGTGGTGCTAAATGTCTGAAACTGACCCTACAACAATCTGATTCAAATACAGATCTATATTTCGATTCGGTTTTTTTTATACTTTAGCGATAAGTTCTTCATCTGTGAACATACTCTCAAAGCATGTCAAATGTCCATGACTATTTATCATATCAGAACTTGCATAGGTATTTGCATTTCAATATCCCCTACTTTTTTTGAAGTGTATAGTTTGATACTTTACCTGGAAGAAGCTCGTAACTTTTCGATCTTAATCCAATATCATTACCAGCTGTACAGACATATCGTCCAGCTGTATGTAAATCAGCTGAAATATTCAGGTTATAGGTACTTTCATTATCCGTCCTATATCCTTCCACTTCACGTACCAGATGATCGCCAACGTAATGCTGCCATTGCGAAAATGTGAAATTATTTGGTCGGCCTTTAGCTTTACATTGAAGAAATGTGGTTGTAGTGGCTATGGTAGGTCTACTGGTTGTGGTGGGCGTGGTACTGGTTCCATTTAAATGATCTAATAACGTGGGTGTAGTGGCCGTGGTACTGATTGTGTTTAAATGTTCCAATAATAATATTGATAATCTTGGAGCATCTGAAATGGTTTATTTGGAGACTAATTTATGTTCGATTAAAACTGAAATGAAATGTGGTTTAACGTCCTAGTTTTCTGCTCTCGACACAAACTAGGTGATTTCGGGACTTACACATGGTTCAATTTTATTTCAATTATTCGGGGCTTTAGCACTGAGAGGAAACCGGAGAACCCACAGAAAACCCATGAGGTTGGAAAGGCGACTCTAGTCCTTAGTAACGTACAGCCGAGGAATCGAAACCACGCCAGGTGACTCAATGACAGACCTTATGATACAACGCGCACGCGCTAACCATTCGGCCATCCACCCTCCTTGACGCAATGCACATATTAATGTAATATGAATGTATATAAAGTGATTTATATTCAGGTTTTAAAAAGAAATATTGTAATTTCTAATCTATTATGTTCGGTGAACTAAATTTAACACGTTTTTTTATTTTCATTTTGTCGTTTGTGAATCAGCCATTAATATTTTATACCGCGCTGTCCCGTAGCATATGTTTTTTTAAAGCATTACATATAGCGCCCGAAACCATAGAATACACGCCTCACGCACAGAATATAAAATGTTCATTGCGTCTTAAATATTCGATATTAGGGTCCCATATTTTTACCGACAAGACAGCAGAGAGCGAGAGAGAGAGAGAGAGGGAGAGAGAGAGAGAGAGAGCGAGAGAGAAAGAGAGAGAGGGGGTCATTTCGGGACTAACATATGGTTTAATTTTATTTCAATTATTCGCTTGCGCGTAGGGGTCTTTAGCAGTGGTTAGCCCACGTAACAACATAAATAACAATTGCATGCTAGTCTTAAAATGTCGCTGAGATGCTAAATCCCAATATATTTTTTTTTATTCTATATGGGCGTGTAAAGTTGTGTGTAAATGTTTTACTTACATAGTATTTCTAGTACTAAAGTTTCCGGAGACTCTATAAACTGGCCAGTGTTATTAGCTCTACAACCAGCCGTAGCATTATCCAAGTCCAGAGATGCAATAAGTTCATAATGTAAAGCTGTGTCGTTGCCCTTTGTTGATATAGCGGTTCCGTTTGTTAGGTTTAAATATATCTCAATGTTGGCGACTGGGAACACATTTGGAGAGGTTTTACACCGTAACCACAAGGATTGATTCTCTTGTATGCTAACATTGATACGTCCATTGGCTTGATTAGTAACACTGTTGTTACATTCTAGGTCTTGATCAGTAACATTGTTGTTACATTCTGGGTCTTGATCAGTAACACTGTTATTGCACACTATCTCTTGACCAGTAACATTGTTATAACACCCTGTCTCTTGACCAGTAAAACTGTTATTGCACACTATCTCTTGATCAGTAACAATGTTATTACATTCTGGGTCTAGATTAGTAACATTGTTATTACACCCTCTCTCTTGATCAGTAACATTGTTATTATATTCTGACCCTGTCTCTTGATTAGTAACACTGTTATTACACCCTGTCTCGTGAACAGTAACAATGTTATTAATGGTTGGTTGGATACAAAAGGAAACGTTTACCACGTCCACTGAAATAAGTAAGAATAGACACTGGCGTCGTTAAGCAACCAAACTACCCCCAGTAGCAATCATGTGAAAGGGGAAGCAAAGGCTTCACAAAATTACAAAAGTAGCGATAAAACCACACCAGTATCAAAGATTTTGAAGTTTTGATGACAGAAGCAATGCATCCGCACAAAATTGACCCGGGAGTCTGATATTTGATAGGACGCCTTCATAGGAAAGCAATCCTACCAAGGTTTCGGCGAAAACGGCAGTAGCTCTAAAATTATATCGGGTTCCATCTTATTTTAGATAGGTCACCAAACGACTATCGCGTAAGTTAAAGATATATTATGTAAGATTAGATAAAGAGTTGACAGTTCTCACTATAATAGTAAAAATAATGTAAAGGGAATATGCTGAAAATTTCAGTCAAATTGCTCCACTCTGAACCGTGATATTAGCATTTGAATTTTAGGCCTAGCCTCGGTCATCATTACTAAAGTCGGTACGATAAAAAGAAAACATATTCTGATTATCCATTTTTGTATTAAATCATCAAAGAGGGTTGAGCAGCAAATGGGATTCAAATCCAGAGAAAATCTGACACATAAGTTGACATCGAGTGTTGATTAAGGTCTTTTCTTGTTAATAAATGTCTAATTAATAATTCAGATAACATTTCAGACCTAAAGAAAGACCTACACTTGGCATATTTAGCTCTTGCATAATGTATGTTTAAGTTTCTATTTATTTGTCAACATCCAGGATTAATGAAAATTAAACTGGTTCGCCTTAGAAGTATTATAAGAAAAAAAAAGCCAACCCAATAATTGTAGAGTTATCGCATTTGATAATGATGTTTTGTCAACATCACTTTCTGTACAAATAATCGAGTCTCCATTCATCTCTGGAGTCATTGTCAGTGTTAAGTTACTGACTTGGTCACATTCGTTCGAAGTTCGGCAAATGGAAATGTTAGATTGTAGCGCATCATTTGAAGGTTCACATATGAAGACCAATTCTTGTCCCTCGTTCACCATAATGGATTTACAAGTGTCATTAGAACAACGGGGTGACGATAAAGTAACATTTGCTACAAGGAAAATAAATAAAAGAGGTTTTTAAAACACAAGAAATAAAATATAGTTGAAATTTGAATAATAATGAAAAAAATCTAAGGCGTAATTCAAGCACATACGAGAGAGAGAGGGAGAGAGCGAGAGAGAGGGAGAGAGAGAGAGAGAGAGAGAGAGAGGGAGGGTGGTCATTCGAGGACTAACATGGTTCAATTTTATTTCTATTATTCGCTTGTGCGTATAGGAGGCTTTAGCAGTAGGAGGGAACCCGCGAGATTGGACATATTGTTCACAAGCGTTCGTTCAACTTTTGCTAAATGTTCGGACGGCAGTGGCATATGTACCAGGTAAATATTAAAGCCACTGTTCGTCATTTGGTGCATGATTTAACATGTAATCTAGCAAGAAAATAAAATCAATGGTCGATAATTTCCCGACTTCGATTCAATCGGATTATACGAGGCAGAAAATGCCGAATTGTTAATTTTCAATTCATCATATCTTTGCAAAATACCGAATGGAATTTAATCAGTTTTCAAATGATACTCGTTATAGAGATTCAACTGTCACAATATAATAGTTGCAATGGGTTAATCCTTCAAATTGTCACCAGATAATGTAATTACAACCCACAGTAAAACAAGGGCGGCTTGAACCTCGAATGTTGGTCTGTAATTTAATAATTGTTTATGTCATGGAGCTTCACCACAATTTTAAAACCCCAAAAAAGAGAAATCAGAAGTTATGTGTTTGTCAAAAGACTATCTTTTGTATTATTTAGCGAAGGTAAAAGATTTACACGTTTAATACAAATAAAGCCTTGTGGTAAGATTAGTGTACGACAGACGAAAGCAATGTATACAACTCACCTGAATTTGTTATACAGATCATTGAAAGTACCAGAAATGCAATATTGAGATAAACCATACTGAGCTGCGATAATGTCTAAAATATCATCTCAAACCTTTAATTTTTATCAAATAAGTCTTATTTATACAACTGTGTTTATTCTTTGATAATATTATTTACACCCACTTCCTTAGTTCCCCTTTCCTTATAATAAATCATTCCGTCCGTTATAAAACAAACAATGGTTTTCCACATTTTATAAAACAAAATTCAGTTAAAGATACATTAACTAGGTTTATTAAAGATACATTAACTAGGTTTATTAAAGATACATTAACTAGGTTTATTAAAGATACATTAACTAGGTTTATTAAAGATACATTAGTTAAGAGTTTAATAAAGAGTTGGCCATTATTCAAAAATTGGTGATAAAAAAAGAAAATTTTGAAAAATTCCGTCAAATTACTTTATTCTGAACGGAGTTGTCACTGTTGGAAGTTTGGACTATAGAAATAGGCATCAACTGTGTCTGCAACGTCTACGAGAATTGCCACTTGTTTGATTGACAGACGATAACTCCACTCACATTTTCTCGATTATCAAGTAACATTCTCAATGACAATGGTATCCTCGTCAGTGACTAACGGTAAACGTTAGCTTGGTCAGCCATTTATTGATTTAATTTTAAATGGACGACTGTTTAAATCCATGCTGTACCCAAGCTACCCGATGGTCTAGAGAGTTGATTTTGAGCTTGTCATGTAAATAAATGTCTAAATAATAACTTCTATAACATCTGAAGCCTAAATAAAGACTTGCAATAGGCAGATTTAGCTCTTGCATAATGTGTGTTTAAATTAAACATTTAAATATGTCCTGTCATTGTCAGTAAGTCTATGGGGTTAAACGTCAACTCGATACAAACTAGATCATCATGGGACTAACATATGGTTCAATTTTATTTCAATAATTCTTAAGCAGTGGGAGGAAACCAGAAGACACTGAGAAAACCCACGAGGTTCGACAAACGACCCTACTCCTTTTCATGTACAACCGGGGAATCGAAACCACGCCAGTTGACACAATGGCAGACCTTATGATACAACGCGCACGCGCTAATCATTCGGCCATCCAAACCCCCTTGACGCATTTTAAAATAATGGGTGATCACAGGAATGAAACTCTTTAACCGGGGGTCATCCCATTATGCCTCCCCCCGCCCACACCAGCTAATGTTCACACGGTAGGACCAGTCAAACATGGGATTATCAAAAACAAAAGGATAAAAACTATAGTCCGTTTACAACAAAAGTGAAATCCGACAAAAAACAACTTTATAATAATTTACATGAAAAAGACAAAAAATATCAAAAACAAATTACAAATCCACAAAATGCGAAATTGCGTCGGCGTATTTAATTACACCAAATTTACCGAAAATCATAACGAGATATAAACTAATTACTAATAATTCAATGATATCAAATAATTCGTAAGTGTGAGGACAGATTTTGACCTTTTTTTCAATTGGAAAAATGTTGAGAAACCAGGTTTGATAGGCAATTGTGTATTTAACATCCGCTTTTATCGACGTCATATCACCCATATAAAATTTAATAAAATATCTAAATATAGCTTTTAGATATGATTTGTCGATTCAGCCGTGTCCTTTAAATACTGACGACAGCCATTTGAGTTGAATTTTGGCTTTTCGGCGGATTTTTAAACCAGTTTTGAAAAGCGATTTGTAATGTATCGTACCGTGGAATATAGTTACTATATATTACCACAGTTATTTTCAAAGTCTCATTTACAACTCCTAATAATTTGTTTTATATAAAAGGTAATTGTTGTGCATGGTCCCCCTTGTCAGTATTGCAGGGCGGCGAGCCTGGCAAGTGATGACGTATAGACCGTCGGGTGGGACATACACAATATACTTTCTCAGTGCGTTTTTTTCTAAAGAATGCATAAATCACATCAGTCTAACAAATGTTTCGAGTTATTGCCCTTGAGTATATCATAAAATCTTATCACAGCCACAATCAGTCTAGCAAATGCTTCGAGTCATTGCCCTTGAGTATGTCATAAAATCTTATCACAGCCCAGTCAGTCTAACAAATGCTTCGAGTTATTGCCCTTGAGTATGTCATAAAATCTTATCACAGCCCCAATGATATTTTACAGGATAATTCTTTTACCCTTTTCACCCTTTGCGAAAGCTTTATAGACTGTTTGATTACATCCAGAATGTGCTAGTTTCGTTCGTTGGTTACCCGTGGGCCAATACTCCTACAGCTGTGCTTAAGAGAGTTTCCTCCCTTTGATAAACAACATCAATGTCCCACATCTTGGGCCGTTGGAATGTTCGAAATCACATAAACACCAATATGCTGGATGCTGTACGTGACATGAATATACAAAGTATATACATAAGTTATTCCCAGAGAAGATGAGAGGTGACTGCACCTTATGATTGTGAAAGACAATACAAAATGAAAAGAAAAAAATCCCAAACAAAACTTCCGATTACACGTTAAGTTGAACACACTAATGAATGTCTGTTGGTCTATGACAAATGTCCTTTTCATACCAATCACTTATATTGTCATAAATCTTTCTCTCCCTAAGCCACCGTCTAGAGTTCTTGCACACATCACACATTCGTTGCGCATACACTTTGTCCATTATTTCGGGATATCCACCTTCGAGGAGATAAACGTCATATTTCCATTTTCTCTCTAAATATGGTATATATGCAGTTTCGTTTTTATCTAAATATTTGAGATAATTGGCCAGTGCTTCTACTGAGTTGAAATCACTTGTCTGGATATAATTCTTTTCTGGACTTAACAGTGAGTAATTTGCTCCACCGCGCACAACGGCTACAATATCAGAAGCTTCAGCACGGAAAAATTTCTCAGTAGCATAATCTTTGCAAAAGGTATTTTCAAAGGAAAGATAAAATTTGTATGTTTCTGCGGTTTTAGAAGTACAGTTATGGTGTGATTTTGTTTTATCACAAGTCATGTTGCCACATCGTCCATAAAAGTCAACGGGCATGTATTTTCGTAGTAAGTTTACATATTTCACACGAGCACTTGGTACTCCGCAATGTCCAGAAAGTATAACTGCTAACTTAGATTTTTTGCTCATTATTTCAGTGATATTTTTTTTCAGAGGAGATTTTCGTTTTTCATACCAACCGTAGGGTGCAAATATATCGGCGTCAAGGCGATAACTCATTGTTCTATTAAATTGGTTTATCCATGAAGGATGGCGCCATGCATGAGAGGCAGTAATTGGAGGTGATTCTCCTTCATGAAAAATCCATATTTGATTTGATTTAGCCCTTTTTGGTGGATAACCTCGCAAAGTATTTCCATCAAATATAACAACATCACTATTATTGTAATTTCTATAAAAACACGAATTGTTGCACTGACGTACCCATCTCTTTAAATCGTGTTTCTTTATATGGGGCGGTGGATTAATCCAATGTATAGATACATTTTGTTTGGAAATTGTATAATTTGCAACAGTTATATAATTTGCACCAGTTATAGTTTTTGCACCAGTTATATAATTTGCACCAGTTATATTTTTTGCACCAGTTATATAATTTGCACCGGTTATAAGTGCGTTTCTAATATTCGGTATATATAGGTTTGTAAGGTACAGAATCACAGTACAAAATACAATTAGTGGAATACAAATACATTTCTTTGTGTCGGTCATTTTTTACCATATATTCCAAAATGGCAGGTAATCGTGCAACCTGAAAAAAAAGACAACAATTAATGACGTAACATAGGTATACGTGCGGGTTGTTCGTAACTCGGTGTTCCTTGAAATTCTGTAAATGTTTCTAAAATATAATTATACAGAACAACAGAATTCGTGGCAACTCGAGGTTGTTTGAATCATTGAACAAGTATTAGGAGTAAAATATTCCCCTGGACGATCACATTCTTCTACAACTGACGAGGGCCCTTTTCTTTAGATATATGATTTGTCGGGATTTATTATGCCGCCTGGAAAATGCACAGTGCAGTATTTGATCTATAAAGTTTTTTTTTTTACAAATTTCGAGTAAAGGTTGGCTTGTGATTTGTAATCTATTGTGGAGACAGTAGGCTAAAGCTACTGTAGATTCATTTTTATTATCATTGATTTCCACAGTCTTATTTACAACTCCCCGCCATTAGGGTAATTAAACAGAACCTGGAAGTCGACAGCGTATCTGAACTATTCAACTGATTCCATAAACCCCTAGCCTAATAAAATATCATTCAATAACATTCAATAATGCCGGCTTTTACGAAATGAAATGGTTTCAGGTAATAATCCTGTAAATTTAGTTCGTCGACAGTAGGAGGTAGAAGCGAAAGTGAAGATCCACAAACCAATTGGATGTTCTTTCTTTGTTGGGAACTTCAGTAACCCATTATACACACGTGAGGGAAATATCATATTTTCTCCTGATAATCATTTTTAACCACGCGATAGAAAAACTAAACAAATAGTTAGCTCTTATATAAATTTTGTTTATTTACAATTTTATAGAATGTAAAATAAGAACAATTTTGTGCAATGCTTCGAGTTATTGTCCTAAGTTATTCTGTAAATTCTTATCATAGTTCCAATGATATTTGACTAGATGAATATTTTGCTTGTTTTACCCAAAGTATCAGAATGCGAAACAATTATAGACTGTTCGAACCACTTTGCTGATGTGGGTCAATATTTAGATGGCTGCTTTTGATAAACTACATCAATGTCCCAAATTTTGGGTCGTTGGAATATTTTACACGATGTTCAAATAGACAATCAGTGAATTATTTAATGATATCTAGACACCAGATCTACAAGCACTTGGATCTTGTAAGTGGCAAGAATGTAACACTATTATAGTGATAACAGAGGTCAGTGTCGTACATATATGATTTATTAACATCAGGAACACAAATATAAAACAACTACATAAATACAACGGGAACTAAACTACACCAGGAAAAAATAACATTAACACGGGGCCTTAATAGACAACCATTCCGCACCTCTGCCATGGCAGCGGCTGAACTCAGGTGAGTCCATACGTCGGTCTCGGGTCTCCTCTCCGCTCGCCTCCCTCTCTCATAAATGTATATAGGTCATATCTACATTGTTCATACATGTGGAATTAAAATTATTTAATTACGTGCTTATGGATGAATAACAAATATCTTTAGTGCCAAAACCAGCTGGGGGCCAATAAGTTCTATGCACCTAAATAATCGTTCAATAGAGCACTTTGTCACAAGAATTATATACAAAGGAAAAGGCAACAAAAAATACGAAGAAACAAAAGACCCAAACAAAACTTTCGATTACACGTTGAGTTGCATACACTAATCAATGTCTGGTGGTCTATGACAAATGTCCTTTTCATACCAATCACTTATATGTTTATAAACCCTTTTCTCCCTTAGCCATCGTCTAGAGTTCTTGCACAGATCACACATTCGTTTCATTAACAATTTATCCGTTTTTTCGGGATATCCACCTTCGAGGAGATACACGTCATATTTCCATTTTCTCTCTAAATATGGTATATATGCAGTTTCGTTTTTATCTAAATATTTGAGATAATTGGCCAGTGCTTCTACTGAGCTAAAATCACTTGTCTGGATATAATTCTTTTCTGGACTTAACAGTGAGTAATTTGCTCCACCGCGCACAACGACTACAATATCAAACGCTTCAGCACGGAAAAACTTTTCAGTAGCATAATTTTTGCAAAAAGTATTTTAAAGGGAAAGATAAAATTTGTATGTTTCTGCGGTTTTAGAAGTACAGTAATGGTGTGATTTTGTTTTATCACAAGTCATGTTGCCACATCGTCCATAAAAGTCAACGGGCATGTATTTTCTTCGTAGTAAGTTTATATATTTCTCACGAGCACTTGGTACTCCGCAATGTCCAGAAAGTATAACTGCTAACTTAGATTTTTTGCTCATTATTTCAGTGATATTTTTCTTCAGAGGAGATTTTCGTTTTTTATACAAACCGTAGGGTGCAAATATATCGGCGTCAAGGCGATAACTCATTGTTCTATTAAACTGGTTTATCCATGAAGGTTGGCGCCATGCATGAGAGGCAGTAATTGGCGGTGATTCTTCTTCATGAAAAATCCATATTTGATTTCATTTAGCCCTTTTTGGTGGATTACCTCGCAAAGTATTTCCATCAAAGATAACAACATCACTATTACTGTAATCGCTATATAAACACGAATTGTTGCACTGAAATACCCATCTCTTTAAATCGTGTTTTTTTTATATGGGGCGGTGGATTAATCCAATGTATAGACACATTTTGTTTGGAAATTGTATAATTTCCACCAGTTATATAATTTTCACCAGTTATATTTTTTGCACCAGTTATATAATTTGCACCAGTTATATAATTTTTACCAGTTATATTTTTTGCACCAGTTATATCATTTGAACCAGTTATATAATTTCCACCAGTTTTATAATTTGCTACAATACGTGCGGTTCTAAAACTCGGGATATATATTTTTGTAAGGTACAGAATCCCAGTAAAAAATAAAATTAGCAGAATACAAATACATTTCTTTGTGTCGGTCATTATTTAACATATATTCTAAAATGGCAGGTAATCGTGAAACCTGAAAATAAAGACAACCATTAATCAAATAAAGTGAAATGGATTATTACGTCCTACTTTTCCGCAGCGTGTTTGTTAATACATTAGTTGTGGTTTTTGTAGGATTGATGTACCGAACTCGTTACTGAAAACAATCGGTTACATGTCACCATCAGCTACCTAAATATAAATATAAATCCGAACAGATGCCGTCTACACAAAACAAATTTAATTAATTAACCACTCGATGTAGGTATGTCTCTAGCTATGTGAATTGCCCAAAGAACTGATGAAAAATATTAGTGATGAGGGCCTCGAGAAATTTAATTAATAATATAACATAATTATAAATTTATATTTCTTATTATTTGTAATATACTCTTCAAAAAAGTAGGGGATATTGAAATGCAAATACCTATGCAGGTTGTGATATGATAAATAGTCATGGAAACTTGACATGCTTTGAGAGTATGTCCACAGATGAAGAACTTATCGCCCCAACAGAACCACTGAGCTGTCCGTGCGACACGCAATAACGCCATTCACGTGGGAGGCGTTCATTGTCAAATTTGACACTTCGAGGAAGGGTTGATGAAAACTGCCATGTGCTGGTTTATCCTATCCATGTTTGCTTTCCTATCGGTTTTTGCATAAGATTTACTGTTTAGTGTATCTTTGCTTTAGTGTGTTACGTTAATTTGCAATGAGACGTCTTCAACATGATGAACGTCTACATGCTATTGGCATGCTTCAAATGGGTTCTACACAGCGAGCAGTAGCCAACATGTGATCAGCAGACTGTGGAACCCGTACCAACAAACACACAATGGTGATGATATACCTCGTTCAGGTGGTCCTAGAGCCACTACACAAGCCCAGGATCGATAAATTCGTACACAGGTCCTGCGAAATCGAGGACTTACGGCCAATCAGCTTTCTGTAAACTTGTACCAAGTTACAGGAATTGAGTTACAAACGATTAGAAATCGGCTACATGCATATGGCGGGGGAAAGCGGCAAAAACCTAATGTTATGTAGAAATGTCTAATTCAAAACACGAAAGAGATCTAAAGGCTAGAGTACCACAATAGAATCATATAAAGAAAAAAGTATACGTACCGGTGAATTCATTTATAATATGCCTATAAATAATAATACAAATGTTGAGTAGGCCCTTCCGGTTGTACAACAATAAACTAGAGTTAGGTCCCTTCGTTTGGGAGAAATTATTGTGTGGATTAGAAAATAGTTCGACCTTGACATTGACCTAAATAAAGATAATTCAGTGGAGAAACGTAAGTAATGACAACGAGATATGTCATCTAATGCTTATGGTAGATGTTTCAGATTGTAAAATCAATTGTGCATAAGAGGTTATATGTATTTTGTATTAGAGGTTTCTTGTATTTTGTCTTTTGCAATAGACGTATGAGGTATTTTGTATTAGAGGTTTCTTGTATTTTGTTTTTTGCATTAGACGTTTTAGGTATTTGGTATGGCATTATATTACATGTGTGTTTTGAATTAGACATTTCTACATAACATTAGGTTTTTGCCGCTTTCCCCCGCCATACATGCATTTGCATTTGCATGCAAGACGACCGCGTGTTGTGCCTCCATTAATTCGCCAGCACATGGCAAACGACGTCAATGGTGTAGGCAGCGTAGAAATTGGGGTGATCGTCGATGGGCGCGTGTAATGTTCTCAGACGAGTCCAGATTTACTCTGGATTTCACCGTTAGGCGTGGCTCCCGTCATGCTAATGTTAACGTCAGACAGCATGACCGATTCGGGCGTGAGTCTGTTATGATGTGGGGAGGAATCACCATGACTGGCAGAACGGACTTGCATATTGTTCAAGGAAGGGTCACTGGTGTGTACTACCGTGACCACATCCTGGCACCGATTATTCTGCCCTTTGCTCAATGTGCAGGTCGACGTTTCATCTTTGAAGATGATAATGCCCGTGCCCACCGCGCTCGTGTCATGAATGACTACCTCCAGCGTCACCATATTGTCCATATGCCTTGGCCAGTCATAAGTCCTGACCTTTCCCTATAGAGCATCGGAAGACGTGTTCGTCGACGTCAACGGACAACACTGCAAGAATTGGC